TGTTCGTTTTTTCCCATGTCTTTTTTTATTTGTTGTTTAGATATGTTCGTTTTTTCCCATGTATTTTTTTTTAATTGTTGTTTTGATATGTAAATTTTTTTCTCATTACTTTTTCATTTTTTTGTTTAGATATGTACGTTTTTTCCATTACTATTTTCATTTGTTGTTTAGATTTGTACGTTTTTTCCAATTTCTTTTTTTTTTCGTTAGTTGTTTAGATATGTTCGTTTTTTTCCCATGTCTTTTTTTATTTGTTGTGTAGATATGTACGTTTTTGTCGCACTCTTTTTCATTTGTTGTTTCGATATGTACGTTTTTTTCCCATTACCTTTTTTTTTCGTTAGTTGTTTAGTTATACTCGTTTTCCCATGTCTTTTTTCATTTGTTGTTTAGATATGTACATTTTTTCCTCATGTCTTTTTTTATTTATTGTTTAGATATGTACGTCTTTCATTTGTTGTTTAGATATGTGCGTTTTTCCCATGTTTTTTTTTGTTTAAGTATGCACGTTTTTTCCCATGTTTTTTTTATTTAAGTATGCACGTTTTTTCCCATGTCTTTTTTCATTGGTTGGTTAGATATGTAAATTTTTTCCCATGTTTTTTCATTTGTTGTTTAGATATGAACATTTTTCCCATGTCTTTTTCATTTGTTGTTTAGGTATGTACGTTTTTCCATGTCTTTTTCATTTGTTGTTTTGATATGTAATTTTTTCCTCATTACTTTTTTCATTTCTTGTTTAGATATGTACGTTTTTTCCCATGTCTTTTTTTTTCATTTGTTGTTTAGATATGAACATTTTTCCCATGTCTTTTTCATTTGTTGTTTAGGTATGTACGTTTTTCCATGTCTTTTTCATTTGTTGTTTTGATATGTAATTTTTTTTCTCATTACTTTTTTCATTTCTTGTTTAGATTTGGACGTTTTTCCAACAAGTTCAGTATACCTTATTTATCACTATTTTATACTACTTTAACAACAGATTCTGTACATATTGTTCATCACTGTTTTATACTACTTTAACAACAGGTTCTGTATACCTTATTTATCACTATTTTATACTACTTTAACAACAAGTTCAGTATACCTTATTTATCACTATTTTATACCACTTTAACAACAGGTTCTGTACATATTGTTCATCACTATTATATACTACTTTAACAACAGGTTCTGTACATATTGTTCATCACTATCTTATACTATTTTAACAACAGGTTCTGTACATATTGTTCATCACTATCTTATACTATTTTAACAACAGATTCTGTACATATTGTTCTTCACTATTTTATACTACTTTAACAACAGGTTCTGTACATATTGTTCATCACTATTTTATACTATTTAACAACAGATTCTGTACATATTGTTCTTCACTATTTTATACTACTTTAACAACAGGTTCTGTACATATTGTTCATCACTATTTTATACTACTTTTACAACAGGTTCTGTACATATTGTTCTTCACTATTTTATTCTACTTTAACAACAGGTTTTGTACATATTGTTCATCACTATTTTATACTACTTTTACAACAGGTTCTGTACATATTGTTCTTCACTATTTTATTCTACTTTAACAACAGGTTCTGTACATATTGTTCATCACTATTTTATACTTCTCTGTTGTTCTCTGTTTAGGGATTTTTCAGTGTTCGTTACATTAACTATAGGTCCGTGACAGGTTATACACTGTTTTTAGCTTTTAATCTAAACATCTGTATTCGTGATGTTTCTGTTAACTTTTGTTTAAGTGGTATCATAACATGTCGGGCAGATCTATCATGAGTAACCATCTCTAGTGTTTTTGAGGAAACGCTATAATTGGTAACTTAATTTCTGCCGAATCTCTCATGATCTGAAATCCGTGACCTGCTTCAGACTTGTATATTTAACGGCTTTTCTCCCCATCTTATATAGTAGCCTCAGATAACCTTAATTTGTTATTTTCCAAAACTAAAAATCCACCTTCCCCTCATACATATCCGTCGACAGGGATGCGGTAGGGTTTGTTTTTGGAAACTGTTTGACAGAGACAGTGATATCTGGTGTAAGAGACTAAGAGTCACTCACCACTACCATCAACATAAAATTGAGCAAGCATGCGATGTGGTGAGAAGCTTAATGGAATTAGATCGTCAGCACTAAATTGTAAATATAGTTTTACAGGATATACACAAAAATTTAATAAATACCTCACGTTAATTATGTTAGATAACGTTTAAATTGCTTTTCCACGTAGTAACCTGAACCGGACGTTTTAGTTATTATTATTGAAAAACAATATTCTTCACGAGTAAGTCTCTATAACCCGAAGAAACGAAGCTAATTAGTTGCATATTTTGAAATGTGTGTTTACAAACACCGAAAATAGTGATAAGTGGATTTTAGGTTATAAACTGATATAAACGCTAGTATTTAATAGATTTTGAATTGTTTATTAGGATTACCGAAGAGCATCACATACCAGGAGCATAACTGGGTCGTAACTGTCCAGAATAAAGAGCTGCCCCCCAGTGGCACAGCGGTATGTCTGCTGACTTACAACGCTAGAAACCGGGTTTCGATACCCGTGGTGGGCAGAGCACAGATAGCCCTTGTGTAGCTTTGTGCATAATTAAAAACAAAACAAACAAACAAACAAATAAAGAGCTGAGAAAACTCTCAGCCGAACGCTAACAACATGCGTTAAGGAAGTAGCAGGCAGTTCTCAGGGGATCGAATGGTTGCATTGTGTTGTTATTTCTTTTACACTTACTCTCGTGATAAAATTAAAAGTTGAACTCCAACACTTCTCAGACAAAAGGAAAACGATGTTGTAAGTTTCTGCGTATAGGATTGTGCAGCATTGAGCTCGTCTTATTCCATGAAATTTTCCAGTTTTCTCAATAAAACGTGTTTAACTCAACACAAACTTAACTTTAAGAATAAAAATAATGTAAATCTATCATCGGACTTGAATCGTGCGTGTTTTATTTCATGTTTACTTTCATCTACTTCTGTTGAATTTATAAATCGTTTTGTTTCTGATCGTGTATTAATACATTTATATATTATTTCTGTGTGAAAAAGCAATTGACGTAAATTAATAATAAGTCCACGTGACATTCGCGGCGCTTTTCACTTGTACCATTGAACATATGAAGTCTGAAGCATGATAGTATTTCTCGTTATTTATATCTTACTTTACATATGTTTGAGGAATTATTTTATAGTGAGGAAATAAGAAATTGAAGAGACGATGACTATTGTCTGTTTCTGTTTATAAAATGAAGTAAGTCACCAGTTTGTGTTTATAAAACGAAGGAAATCACCAGTTTCTGTTTATAAAACGAAGGAAATCACCAGTTTCTGTTTATAAAATAAAGGAAATCACCAGTTTCTGTTTATAAAATAAAGGATATCACCAGTTTCTGTTTATAAAATAAAGGATATCACCATTTTCTGTTTATAAAATAAAGGATATCACCAGTTTCTGTTTTTAAAGTGAAGGACGTCATCAGTATCTGTTTTTAAAGTGAAGGACGTCATCAGTATCTGTTTTTAAAGTGAAGGACGTCATCAGTATCTGTTTTTAAAGTGAAGGACATCATCAGTATCTGTTTTTAAAGTGAAGGGCATCATCAGTATCTGTGTTTTTAAAGTGAAGGGTATTATCAGTATCTGTTTTTAAAGTAATGAGCATTATCAGTATCTGTGTTTTTGAAGTATATATTTCATGTGGTCGTTGTAGTGTAGAAATGTGTAAAATAAATACGATCGTAATATTCGTGAAGGCAATGAAAGTAAACTACTAAACTTTATCACTTTTATACTAATTGCGCTCAGTTTTTTATGCTGTAAAAGTCATACATTGTTTTCATTTCAGTTAGGCCTAATTCATACCTCGCATGGAGACTTCTTTATCGAGCCGTTGCTTTTGGATGATCGTCGAGCAAAAACTGGAAAGCGTGTAACAAGAACACATGTTATGAAAATGCTGCAAACACCTACATTCAGAAACAGAAGATCTGTGGTAAACTCTGGTTCTGAGGGTAAGTTTCTAAGGATGTCCTGAAACATTTAATTTTTTACACAGTAAAAGAAATATTAACTATTGTGTGATAACCATTGGCTTGATACGAGCATTTACACACATTTAATTATCCCAGTGCTAGGAAAATAGTTTTTTGGAAACTTACTTTTATTAAAAATAATGCTGGAATCCGTTAAGTTTACATTATGTAAAATTATTAATCCGTTCAAAATATCAAACTTTTTCGCCCATTCAAACGTGGGTTAATCCCACTATTCGTTAGTAAAAGAGTAGCCCAAGAGTTGGCGATGGGTGGTGTTGACTAGCTGCCTTCCCTCTAGTCTATCACTGCTAAATTAAATATGGCTAGCGCAGATAGCCCTCGTGTAACTTTGCGCAAAGTTTCCAACAAACCAAACCGCTCAAAATATACTTGTATAACACAATTAGAAGTATATTTTAACCAATTACACTATCAGCGAAAGTAATATTTGTTAAAATGTTTTTAATTATTTGTCAACAGAGCTGAAACATTGCGTTGTGTAAAATAGTACGAATTTCAGCGTTTCTGGAATTCACTGATTGACACAGGAGTACTTGAAAGTTTCATATCTGCAAGTACGACAATTTATATAACATTTCAGTAGTTAACGCTTGTCTTTATGTGAAGCTGGTGTTACTTCAACTTACTGACTTGTTTCACCACCTGTGAGGTTTATATACTGCATCATATTGAGCAACTTATCTTTCTACATGTTTTACAATACTCTTTTTAAAGATGGTTTGGTTTGTTTGGAATTTCGCGCAAACCTACATAAAGGCTATCTGCGCTAGCCGTTCCTAACTGAGCAATGAAAGACTAGAGGGAAGGCAACTACTCATCACCACCTACCGCCAACTCTTGGGCTACTCTTTTACCAATGAATAGTGGGATTGATCGTCACAGTACAACGTCCCCACGGCTGAAAGGGCGAGCATGTTTGGTGGGATGGGTATTCGATCCCGCGACCCTCAAATTGCGAGTCGAGCGCCCTAACCACCAGGCCATGACGGGCCTCTTCTAAAGAACTGACGGAAAAAGAAAACGGTCGAAACCCCTGATATTCTGTTTAATATACATAGAGGGATTAAAGCAGTATTAATGGTATTTCTGTTTAAAATATTTTGTTACTTTTATGTTATTATGAATCCTATAAAATAATGGACCCAGAAGCAAGTTGGTGCATAGATAGTTTTGGAAAAGTGTGTGTAAAAAAGCTGATGGGATCCATTTTACGATCAATAAGTTGATTCGTTCATATTGTTTGAAGTAGCATTAACCCTCACCATTACCACCAAGAATAAATGACGTGAAACGTGTATAGAAAATGGCTGGACAATCGTGTCAATTTTACAGTAGTTTATGTAGTACGTAAGTATGCGCTGCGTGTATTCGTATAAAAGTACTTTTTGGCATGGACATTTCTTAAATACGATTAATCCAGTTTTTCCTACAGTACTTCATGAATGTACATTTATTTTGTAAAATGTATTCCCCAAGATTCTATATTAATGTACTTGCAGAAGGGATTCTAATGTAGACATCAAACGGGAATTCAATTCTAGAGCACACGTGGATTAAAACTCACGTAGTATGACTCATCGATACGAGCTAAGCAACTTCACCCAAACTCAGAAGTGTTGGATGACTATAAGTGCAATTCCAACTTCCACGCCATTGCTTTTTCTATTGTTTACAATAGTTACTGATAATATTTTCACATTTATGGTGTGCATATTTTATCTTAGTGTCATACCGACAGGAAGATAACTCAAGGTATCCATTATCCTTTTCAAACCCAGAAAATGTTGCGTTTAAACAGTGTATACATATATCCAATAACTACCAGAACTTCGTTACCCTATTCATCTACCTAGATACTGAGGGTTAATCACACCTTATAAGAATGTTGTTGCATGTGATTACCCGTCGCCCCAGTCTTCATTGTATCATGCTTCGAGTACCATGTTGAAACAGACCAATCTTAGACAACATTTATTACAAACTTTACGTCGGCTTTCCACTGTATAGCAGGTTTGAGTACCATGTTGAAACAGACCAATCTTAGACAACATTTATTACAAACTTTACGTCGGCTTTCCACTGTATAGCAGATTTGAGTACCATGTTCGAACAGCCCAATCTTAGACAACATTTATTACAAACTTTACGTCGGCTTTCCACTGTATAGCAGATTTGAGTACCATGTTCGAACAGCCCAATCTTAGACAACATTTA